AAGCATAATTAATTCCAGTGGTAATTGGCGCTACGCGACGTGCTTAAGATTCCTTCATGTGGTTTCCAACTCTTTCCATTTTGCTACGTGACAGCTAACGCCCATGACACGTCGCCCACTATGCTCTCTTTCTGTGTTTTGAATTTGAGGGGCCAGCGCGATCGACGTCTGTTGAAATTTTTGGATGATCTACTATCCAAATTTTTTCCTTTGCTCCGATATATTCGTATCTAAATTCTTCATCTAAAATTTGAGATTATAAACTGATTACTCCATTTACATGCTATGAATATGAGTAAATCATATATATATTATTAGTGTATACACTATCACAGTTAGATGACTGACACATGAGTAAATATATCTAATGGTGATAATATATGCACTGACACACTGTATGTAAGATTAATCCTATAAGCATTAGAAAAAAAAAAATAGTGATTTTCCAATTAGCCCCTATACTGTCATAATATGCATCAAGTTCCTCTTAAAACTCATGCCTAGTTATAGACTTGTTGACCGGTCAAGTTTAGGTTGAAATTGAATGTTTTAGACCCGAACCCGTTTATTTATACTTGTTCCGGATTCGACTCATGTATTTGATGGGTCTTACACTTAGGGTGAGCTTGATAAAACTGAATTCTGAAAACTGAAATTTGAATCTATTGAGATATCGAATTGTTAAGTATTAAATTCAGATAAGTGATAAGTGAATAACTTATCATTTAATAATAATTTCGAGAGCAAGTTTTATTTAAAAAATTCAGTACCACTTAATTAATTCAGATATTCAATTTTTGATTATTAAACGCGTTTGAATATGTTAAGATCTGAATTCATTAAATTTAATTGTGAACTAAGTTATCAAACATGATCTTAATCTCCCGAATCCAAATATGACTGGGTCTGGATATGGGTCGGGCATACCCGTCCCCCCAAATTATATATTAATATGTATATATATTTTATAACTATTAATTCATTTAAACAGATTTGTGTAGGGTATGAGTTGGAATTCAACATTTCATATTCGACTCGTTTTTTTATTCAGTTCCGGTAAACAAAATTCTATCTATATCCGTACCTGGGAAAAAATAGCAGCAGACGTGATCCTTTGACAGGTCTACTTAATTATTAAGTAAAGATGAAGACGGTGGCTTTTAATAACATTGCCTGGCCTATAAGCATCAAATTCAAACTCGCATTTGTTCTTTATGTCACGATTTAGAATAGTCTACAATCATCGAGTTCCATGCAGTTCTCCCAAGTCTTAATTAACTAATAGCACGAAGCACGGAACTATGGAAAGACAGCTAATGTTAGCTACCGCTCGTTGGAAGAGGAGACCAGAGAGGGTCAAGGAGGGGGTAACTATTAAAATGATTTGAAAGTTTATATTTTTGCCCCTATAAATTTGAGAACCTTTTTTGATTAAGTCTTAATCACTTTATCAGGCAAATTTAATCCAGTACACAGGGATGCCCCTGTATAGATTGAATAAAGCTGGCTAAAGACCTACACTGCACTGCAATTAAAGAGACTTAGCGACTCATGATCGACCCAATGCAGCCCACTTTTGTGGATTTTTTTTCCCATTGCAATCAAATAGATAAGATCCTGCTTTAGTAATACTAATCCGTGGCAAACATTTTTTCGTTAAAGTAAATCTTCTGAGGTAAAATCCCTCCCCCCATGTACAAGATTTTACTAATCGTTTTTGTTGAAATAGAAGTTTCAAATGGGTAGGGTCTCGCGACGTTAACATTAGTGCTTATCTTTAGGCTCCCACTATAACACCAACAATAATCCTAAACGTGCTCCCATCTCTTCTTCTTTCACATAGAGAAGAGGAACAACCTTGCCTGCTCTTACAATTTACGCACGTGCACTGTATAATGAGGGCAAAAAAAAAAAAAAATTTTTTTTTTTTTTTGGCGATATGTGGAGAGGCCTAACGCCTATATTGCAAAGAAACTAAACGAGGAGTGTCATGAAAGGGCTTTCTCAATAGCAGTAGCTTTCTTTAGTAATGAGGGGCTTTCTGAAATCATTTCTAATTTTTCAGCAGGCTGGATGGCAACCTTTTTGGTGCAACTTGGGAGGACGGTATTCTTCGGTGGTGTCTTGCACTGAAGAAGAGCAAGAAAAGCAATGATGAAAAATGGACATATCTGTCACTGGGGAAAAAATGGCGAGGGAGCAACAAACGACCCTCTTGACCGTCCAATCAATAATCCTCCCAAGAACACTCGCTGTTCTATTTAATTTTCAACGTGTTCTCGACCACTGAAGCACACTTAACATACACAATAAAAAGTTGAACTCCCACCCTTGTGATCCTTCTCTTCTCTTGGACACTACTGACTCTGGTTGGATTTCAGCCTTTCAGGAAGCAAAAGGACAACACTTTTTCTTTTTTAACTGTATGATCAGAAAGAACTGTTGTAGTAAATGAAGTTGCGGAATTGGAAGCTAATATCTGAGAGCTTGTGATATCATCATGAGTTGGGGGGAGTGGATTATTGTCTGCTCAAAGGAGTACCCTAAAGGGACCGCCGAAGCACTTTAACACGACTAGATAAACCAAACAAGTATGTTGGGAACAGTTAACCCCACCCACAAAAGGCGCGGAGCTCCGGCCTTCCGGCTTCCTGCTCCATATCCACCGCATGGTCTCTGTTTCACCATTTTTTGTTTTCGTACCAACAACTTGTTGTATTCTTTTTAGCAGGTGAGGTGAGGGAGGGATGGAATTTAAAAAGCGAGGAGGAGGAGGAGAAAAGGAACGAGGGAGCCCGTCACGATTAGTTGTAGATAGAATAGCCAATAATTACGAGATCTCAAATACGGAGTAGTAGTAGTTGGTCCCGTCAATGTAAGTAGACCGCATGACATGCATATGATTAAGCCGGTGGGGTTTCTGCTTAGTTCTGTCTCGCGTACTTCGCTGGAATCAAACTTATTGCGAGTGGTAATGACCATGATTATGGATTTTGGAGGTTGTACAGTCAGAGTGATCATGTCGTGAATATATTTGTTTGTCCGTCCTGCATCTACTGAACTTTGATATGATATGATATGATTTATGTGAAGTGGAAGCAATGTTTCCGTCATTCCAGCTATAGGAGACACATTTGTGCTTTGCACAGGAGGAGGAGGAGGAGTGCTGACGATTCATTCCTGAAAATCCTTGAGCAGTACTGGATCAGATCCGATATATATGTTCAGTAGTAGTTTTTATAATGCTAGTACACACGTTACCTTCCTTTTAAATTTGTCGAGTTTCTTTACTACTACTTTTTTCCTTGATTTTTGAACGCTAACCATTCTTCACAAACGCACTCCTGAGTGAAGTCAGCACCGTTCCATCGCTCTCGCATAATTAACTGTTGGCCTTTGCTGGATAAGACTGGTTTACTCACTCACCCCAGTCACTTCTACTCTCGCTCTCGGCTCACTGCTCTCCATCCCATCATGCTGGTGAGAGTTTTTTCTAACCTGAATGAAGATTATCTCTTAAGTGCTGCTGTGAGAAGGTGATTAATTAGTGGACGATGTCGGGGTCACGGGGGTGAAAAAATTCAACCTAGGAGAAGGTGGTGACAAATTCACGTGGGATATGCTGCTGCAACCTTTACCTGACCCTCTGGATTGCTTTGCCATCATCATTTCATCAACCGTAAAAGTTAAAAAGAGTTGAATGGAGAAATTAAGCAGCTTCGTGTCTTCTTTTTTTATCGAATGTGTCATGAAATGAAAATTCAACCCTGAATTCACTCTATTCCGGCAGGTAATCTTTGTTGCATGAAGCTGAGCTCGATCTCTGTGGAACTGCTTCATGCAACTTTTGATCATTGCCCCGCTCTTATCACTTGGGATCCTCGGTGACATGTTTTCTATGCCAATTCAATGCCATCAATAGTGTTGCACCAAGTGTCATGTTATTATTTAAACTTGTATTAAACCAAGCCAAGTTGAATTATTAAAAAATTAAAGTGTAAATAATAACAAGACACTTGGCACAACACTATTGGTGGCATTGGGTTGGCATATAAAACATGTCACCGAGGATCTCAAGTGCGCTCCTATACGTGCATCGCTCGCGTCCAGCATTATTAAAGTTAAAACTATTCATATAAGCATCATCGTGAAGTTCAAATGGCATCAGGTAAATTAATTAAATTACACTCATGCAACAGATAATTAAGAGATCCTAGCTTAAGTTTTCTTTTTTTGTCTGACGAAGATATCAGCTGAAGTTGATGGCCACGAAAAATTGGAGAGCGACTAGACTTCCCATTCCAAACTCTAGTTGCTGGCACAATCATAAGCCGTGGAGATATCATATAACTGAACTTGTACGTTCGACTGATGATGGGTGCAACCGAGCAAGATCCGCGACATGCGGCCTCGACCAAAGTCGCTTTTGCTTTCAAGTAAGTCTTGCCCCTCTTTTTTTGCCCCCCCCCCCTTCTCTCTCTCTCTCTCTCTTCTTCTTTTTTTTTTTTTTTTGTTTGTTTGTTATTCTTTTCTAAGCAAACTGCGTCGCTGGTTCATTCACGAAATCTTTGGGTAAAAGCTGATTATTTTTTTTAAAAAAAAAACCAGGATAAGCTAAAATGATTATTACATAGATTTTAATTTTTTTTTTGACAATTGAAAAATCTAAGAAATAAATGCAAAAGCAAACCACAACAATCGAAAGATTTTAGTATTCGAAATCAGAATCTAAACTCTGGTAAAATAATCAGACAGACAATAAAAGGGCCGCAATATGGATGAAACTTGAAAAAAAAATTAAAAAAGTAAAACAGGAAACATAAGACGAAATCTGAACAGGATGGACTAGCCCTAGGCCCAGCTTTCTTGGGCAAGTTCATTATGGGCCTCAGTTGAAAACCTGTCTTGTAACTCTTCGCCTTCGAGTGCCCTTCCGAATCTCGGCCCACAAATATTAAATACTACTATAAAAAAGGCTGGGGACTGTAGCAGCCGCTTTTGCGATTTGAAATAAACAGAGAAACTTTCCCAAACCTATGGCGGGAATGGACTCAGAGAAGCAACTCCTGTCTCTCATTCGCAACTTCGCTTCCGAAAATTCTCATGGAGGTGAGCTTTTGTATGGTAATGTTAAGTTGATAGCTCTTTTCTTTTGAAAACATTTCATAATTCTATAGGTTCAATAACCTCTTACTTTCTGGGTAAAATAAGCGAAGGATTTAAACTGCTCAGTTAAAGCTGAATACGTCATTCAGTGCTTTTATGATTTGTATCGCGTAGAGCACGAAATCGTGAATCTGAAGAAGCGCATTGAAGAACTTCGATCCGAGCTTATTAAAGCGAATGCAGAGCTCGAAGATGCCAAGCTTGGCAAGGAATCATCGGAGCAAGAGCTCAAAGGCTACGAAGTCGAATTAGCTATGAACGAGGCCTCCATCCAAACCCTAGAGGTCGATTTTTTTTTCCTTCAATGGACCTTGATTATGCTAAAGCATACTACTTCATTTTCCGGATTTGTTAAGCACTACAAAAAGTTTGTTAAATATTGCTTCTAGGCGAGGATTAATTCTGTTCAGGATGCGATATCTGCGGTTGGATCTGAGTTAGAGGCTCTGAGGGTATGGACTAGGCCTTGGGCCGTACTTTGAATATTTCCATGCATGTGAATAATGGTACAGATTTTGGATAATGTTTTGCGTTTGATCTCTGTGTAAATGTGCATGTTTGGCTGAACAATCTGCAAAGAACCAAGGAGATGCCGAAAGGTACACATTACTCTTTTCTACGTCTCCTATTTCACTTTTATTATTCTTTCTGTTGTCCTCTTATTATCATGCCGTTGCCTCAGCAGAGACGATTTTATTGATAAAATGCTGGAGCTTAATGCGCGTATACGGTAATTTCTCCGATCAGAAGTAACCAACATGTGTTCACCTTTTCAATACCTGTGCTGACCTCCAACTTTTTCCGATTATGCTTGTTATGATGCATGGCATCTCACATAGAACTTTGCACTAACATATATAGGAAGACTCTGTTTATGTGGCTATTTACTTACTGAAAAGCTGATGATTCTGCTACTTGAGCTGAATTCATAATCTTCAGAATCCATCAAATAGCATTTTGTAGAGTTCAAGATGCTTGCATGTCATGTATGAGTGGGCCAAGCAAAATTAGTTCAATGACTGTTTTGTCATTGTTCTCCCTGCTCTACTTAGTCTCAGTCCTTATATATTCTGATTACTTAAGTTATGCTAGTTGGATAAAATTTTTGACAGTTTCTGTCATCTTGGATGCAGAAAGTTCCATGAGTCTGTAGTCTCTGATCCAAATAAGGAGGATTCTTGTGGAACAACATCAAGCAAAGGTCTGTTTTGAGCATAGAATACTGTAACTTCATTTTTGTTATGGAAGGTTCAGCTGAGAGGGAAGTTAGATTCGTGCTAAAGTGTTCCACTTCCTCTCTCTCTCTCTCTGACATTTATGAGCACATACACTTTCGCACCCATACACATTTTGATTAACTAGTAATTATTGTAAAATTATACAGCTTCATTGAACTGTTGCATCTGTAGCATAAGAAGAAATCTCAAGCATATCATAAACCTTTTCAGAAGGAGTCTCTAAAACCGCTGCCGAGGTTGAAATTGTCCAAAGTGAACTTGATCAAACAGTCTCCCGCATCAAATTGGAGAAACGAGCTTACGAAACTGAACAGGGTGTCCATAAACTAGTGAGTTCAATTCTTCACATAAAAGCAAGAAAGAATTGGAATTGTTAATTCCATCTTGTTTAAACAATGATCCAGTGAAAAACAGCTGCCTAACACTTGTCTTCTGTTGAGCCCTTATCTGGCTCTTTTGAATGCATGTAACTAGTTTTTGTCTAAATGTCGTTCATGATATTTGAGCTTCTTGTACTTTTGCAGGTTCAGCAGGATTTAAGTGATCTCGAAAGGAAAGCCTCACTGATGGAGAGTATTATGAAAGAGGATACAGAGTTGAGGGAGTTGACTAGATATCCTTTTAATGGTATACTATGAACATGTGATACTTTTTGAGTGGCAGTGAACGAACACTTACAAGTATCTAATAAGCCAAACACACAAGGAATGTTGTTGGGGTTGTTCAGCTTCCATAATTTGGTTAAGGTTAATGGTAACACTAGCATTGATCAGAAAGCATTTAATGGATTGTAGAATGCTTAGTTCCACAGCAGTCTCATATAAAACCTAGTTTTTGACAAGGAAGTAGTTCAAGCAGACTTGAGTTTGAGCTTGTTGGTGATAGACTTTTCTTGCTGTCCAGATATATATCTCTAGCTTGTATGTGATTAATGCACCTTTGACTTGAAACAAGCAGACATCTGAATTGGAAGAGAAATGTGCTTCGTTTAGAGATGAGTTGCAGAGGAGGTTTCAATGTCCCAGTTGTCAACGGGACAATTCCGAGGCTTTGGATGTCCTTCTCCAGACAATCAGAACTTAAAATCTTGCAATTAGTTTCACATCCAGGAACTTTATTTTGTCAAATGAAAAAGGAATGTGGATTTTGCAAATAAGGAGTCAGGATTCTAGAGTCTTAAAAACATTTTACTCATCTACAGGGCTGCAACCGGTTCGATGATCTTAAGCTGTGTGTTCTTGTAGGGAACTGCAAAATTGATCCTCTGCAATTGAGACACTCATACATTCTGATAGTTTCTTTTCTCTAATATGTTGGTTGAAGACCAAAAAAGAAATGGAATGTCAATATATTTTTAACTTTGAAGAATGTGACTGTTCTTCAATCCGTCTTTTCTGTTTCCATACACAGCATCAAGAACAGTATTTACACTTGTTTTACAAGGTAGCTGAGGAATAATGTTTTTGTCCTTCTTTTTTTTGTTTAATTGAGAGTGGATTTACCCCGCTGAAGGAAAGTCTTGGTCGGGTTATCTATTAGTTGGGCATGCATCTGCATCCGTTTTAATCAAGGATGTCAATGTTGTTGTAGCTTCTCCGTTTGCTTGCTTCCCCTGCCATAGTAAAAGTCACATTATACCGGAATTTGAGTTTGAGTCTCTTATATGTACTTATTCTTCTTGTGCACACATGGATTCTTAAAGTTGTTAGCAAGATCATAGTAGTACTCACGATGCTGCATGGAGTTCCACTAGGTACAAGTGCTGGCACAACAAGCCTGCAATTGGCACGCTTATCAGCCTCTATCTGCGTGGAGAATAGAGCAGAGACAGGCCGGTGATCAGAGAACTTGCTTTCGCTACGGAAATAGGAGATCTGTTTGACCCCTTTACCGTACCATAAAACTCTGTCACACCTGCCATTGCAAAGTTGTGTCATAGCTTCACCATCATTTTTAGTGAGATGTAAAGATGAAACACTACTAATTGAAAGAGTGCTTCCCTACAGCTTCTCTAAAAGAAGAATTAATTAAGACGCTCCACATGCATTCTTGTGCCTACATATAAAAGAATGAAAATTATTGATTTTCCTGTGGTTGAGGGCATGACTGGTGCAATATGATGTGCAGACACAAACACAAAATTGCTAGTTTGCTAGAATACGTTGTCAGTGTTGATGGCATGGAATGATTAGGGTTAGAGAAGGCATTAGAAACACAATCCTTCGTTACATACCATGCTGGAGTTCGTTGCTTCTCCCGTGCTCTGCTTGGAAGTCCACCTGAATAACGATTACTGTTAGTGGAAGAGTACTTATAGGTAGGTGGAAATTCTAAGCTTCCCTCTTTCCATCCTTGGAATACTCCGCCATCTTCAAGCTCCTTCTGCAACTGATCAAACCCCTGCAATGCTTTCCAATCTTGCTTCCTTATCAACTCTCTGGCTAAATTGTCTTCCAGATAGAGCCTATAGTTGAGATCCCCAAACAAGAATACCCGGCTGTTCTACAACATAAAATGTGTGCATTTGTTCATTCTTTCCTTTTTAATTGTTTAATTCCATTTTACTATCCATATCACAAGGTTGCTCTCTTCCTGCAATGAACAGAGTTTTTTCTCGGATTGAAAGTGTCTTATACCTAAGCATGTTAAACTATTTTTCCAGTAAGAATTGAATGTTTTCTTCAATTGGTCCATTTGTTTTTTTTTTTTTTTGTTTTGTTGGAAAGACAACTTACTCATGTCCCAAGATGGTCGGAGGCATGAGATTGCCATCACGAGGTAGCCGTGGAAAAGATGTGCGCCGGAAAATTTCTGAGACTTGGTAATTTCTCTTCCCTTCGTCACCTTTCTTTTCCCCAGAAGCCAAGTGAGCAGCAATGAAACAAAAACTAGTTCCTCCGATTGACATACTGACGGAAACAGATCCTTTGTTCCCCAAATAGCCCATGATGCCACAAGCCACTGAACAAACTCTCACATCCGATATGCTATATGCCTTCAGCAACTCTCTTCTTATCCAAACACTAATAAATACTCCAACCATCTTCCTGCTGGCTATTAATTTGTACCTACTGTACCTATATGACTGCCCTGTCTGGCTTCTAGTTTGACTTCTTAATTGCGTAGTAATTTGGCTTCTGGAAATATATCGCCTTCCAGTTTCTGGGATACCCGAATAGTAATAATCATCGCTGTTAATCGGGTTTAGCATGGGTGTTAGCCAAGGGCATCCATATTTGTCATTCAGAGTTTTTCCAATAAGCATGTTCCAGTTTGTCGCCTCCGTTGCGTTTTCTCCAGCTATGATGCTTTGTGGATTCAAGGGAACAATTTCCTGGAATCTGCGGAAGACAAAAGCTGCGTCCATAAAATGAGAGAAGAGACATGTACGTGTATCAACAACACTTTTGACATTAACCTTTCACGTACCCAAGAACATAAACGTCTGCCGTGTGATCAATGTCTTTAAGGTTCAGCCATTCGTCCAAATCCGCTGCTAGACTGCCTACGGGAGATCTTCCCGCAACATTCCAAGTGCCGACGAAGACTCTGTATAAAGCATACTGAACCATCGTCAACTCCATAAAAGAGACTTACGTAGTTCCTTTTTCAAGTGTTGACCGAAACCTCACCTTAGTTCATGGGTTGAAATGCGTGGGTCCATCTCCATCGACCAGCCACAGAAGCCAGCATCTTCTTCAACCGCATCATCTTCTACAGAAACCAGTGAGTAATCAACACGGGAAGAAGGTAATATAAATACTTCACTGAACAGGAATGGGGAGGTTATTGTTGTAGAACCTGTGATTCCTGCACCTGAATCAAATGGATCAGCTTTCTTTTTCTTCCTCGAAAACCACCAGCGAAACCTTTCCCTTCTCCGGCTATGCTTCTTGTTTGCCATTACTCAGGAAACAGAACTTGGTACACCCTAGGATGGTGACAGCAAGTATTTCTTCTCCTCGCAATCTTTTTGTAAGTTTCTGAGTTGAAGCCGTAAAACTGTGGTATTATGGCTTAGTGACTAACATGTCGGACGTTGATTCTTCTGCGAGCAAATATTGTAGTGATCGCCTGCACAGAAAAGTACTAGTAGTATAATAGTTACAGTGAAAGAGACAGCTAGCAGAAGATGGTTCAAAGTTCAGATCAAGCGATAATCACGAGAGAGAGAGAGAGAGATCTTAAAAGGTCAAAGTTAGTTGAGTTGCATTTCTAGTTAAACCTCTCTTGTATTTCATGGTGTAATTCACTAGCAACTAATTTGAGCGTGAAGCCATGTGGAAGCTAAGTGTTGGTGTTGTTTGTGGTGCCAAATCTGGAAAGACTTCGGTGTAATCAACTTTTCCATCATTATCGAATGGCCTTTTTATCCTCTTAACTGTAATTTTCTTCTGCTCAGATAACATTGCTTGTCTCTAACAGACCGCCCTCCATTTACAGCAAAAGCAAAAAAAAAAAAAAAAAGTTCAGAAAATTGGTTGATGCGTCTCTATTATGTACACACTAATGACATTTTAGGGGATAATTAATTCGAAAACGTAGACGCATGTGAGAGAAGATATCGTATAGCAGCAGGCATTTAGATATGGAAACATATAGTCTCTCATGTGTTGGGTCCGGAAGTTTTGATTGTTAGTCTGTGTTATAATTCTTCAGCGCATAACATAAATGATAAATCCAATGGTTTGATTTTTGAGCACTTACCAATGGCCGGCAGCAATATATGCTTGATGCTGCAATATGACTCAGGAGTCACTCGTGAATTGATTCAGGAAAGGAAACACAGCTTTCTTGATAGTATAAAAATTCACATTCACGGGAAAGAGAGAGAGAGAGAGAGAATTTCTTTGGCTTGCTTGCACGAACCATCTGTCCGATTGGAACGGGAGGATCAACCGCATCCATCCCCGAGAAAATCAGAAAATCAAACAAAACATAAAGATTTTATTTGCTTCTTGTTTATGCCATATGGAGTAGTATTTTGTTTGGAAGAGTTCCTGCAGTGAGATGGGTGGCGGATACCATCAATCAGAATCTTTCATACAACACTTCCCGGACACGTCTGATAGCCAGGGAAGACTTTTACTTTCTGGGCATTTCCTGTTTGTATTATTTTAGCTGTTGAGTTTGAAAACAACCGCAAACGAGTATTCAACAGTTTCAAATATCTGTTAAAGGTCCTTGATTTCCACCTGTAGAACCGTCTCCACCATATCCGTCCACTTCTAAGAATGATCTGTCAATTTCCATACAGCCTGCACGGGTTCTGTGTTGGAAAAAAAAAACACCTGTCATTATTTGTTTTGTCAAATACAACATTCTAATGGACAATGTTTTAGTAATAATAGTTACGAAATAATTTTTATCTAATATAACACGTTGTTATACTTGTAACGATCATTTGATTACTTGTTGGAACTTATTCATCTAATGAATTATTTCGTCCCTCACATTTTACAAAATAAATTTTTTTCATCCCTCATATTTTAAAAAATAAATTTTTTCATCCCTCATTGATCATGTATACGAATAACTTTTTTTTAAAAATTAATATATATCTATTTGATTTCACCTGAACAATATGAATAGCATATAATATATCTCTATTTTATTTCACCTGAACGTATTGTTGAAGTGAAATTAAAATAGATATATACAGGAGTTTAAAAAAATTATTAGTTTTTTACTCATGTTCATTCCTTTTACTCAAAAATTGAAAACAATGAAGATATTTAATTCTAAACATTACCAAGCATTTATATCGAATTAAATTTGGACAGAAAAAATAAACAAAGAAAAAGTATGACAAAATGAAGTGATTGACACTTTTAAAAAATAATCATAAGATAAGAAATTCAACTATTGGTCTTAAAGGTAGCGAGTAAAAATTTCAGAATTAAATTGCAATTTGTTAGCATGACTATAAAATTCGAATTAACATTGATTAATTAGATGGTTTTATTATACAACTTAATAAATGAATTATTACCAAAATAGAAAATGTTGCAAATGTTAAATAAATTTACATGGTGAAATCAAATATAAATATTTATGGGTTTAAAAAAATTATTAGATTTAAACTCATGTATATATCTATTGAATAGTATATGCACAACTACAATTAGTCTGTTTAAGTGAAATAAAATAGAAATATATTACATACTATTCATATTGTTTAGGTGAAATCAAATAGATATATACATGAATTTTAAAAAAAAACTATTTGTGTATATGGTCAATGAGAGATGAAAAAATTCATTTTATGAAATGTAAGAGATGAAAAATTTATTTTGTGAATGTGAGGGACGAAACAATTTATTTTGTGAAATGTAGGGGATTATAGATGGATTATGTAAATTTTAATTTGACAATTTTACCCTTAAAAAATAATCACATGCAAGGTACGTGATGAATTCCGACAAAAAATTAGTCGTAAACCTAGGTAGGGACCAAATTTGACCAATATGAATTTGTAAGGGACGTAAAATTACACATTTAAAAGTGAGGGATGAAAAAAGTCATTTTACAAAATGTGAGGGACGTTTTGAATGATTTTTCCTTATTTAAAATAACGATAAGATGTTTTATTAATGATTAAAATTTAGTATCTTAGTTAGTAAGTACTCATAATATACCTATATAATACATGATTATATGTCTAATTAAAATTTTTTATATTATATATTTTAAAATACTATGAAAAATTTTTCACATAACCTTATAAAATAAGTAATAAAATTTTGTCGTAGTATAATTTTGAATGATTTTAAAAATTTTTTAAAAGTTCAAAAGTTTGGATAATAACAACAACAACACATCTTCCTAGTTATATATATAAAAAATATCACTCATCTATGTAATTTCTATAATTTAATACCAATTAATATAATAAGTAAGTGAAAGTTTTAGAATCTTATCATGGAGTAAACTTTCTATTTCTACATGACTATCACAGTCCAATAAACACACACACACACACACACATATCCCTTTATAAGCCTAACAAAACTTTCAATTAAAGCAATAAGGGTTATTATCACTTTACTCTCTTAACGTTCGGTGCCACTATCAATTTTCCCCTTAACGTTATCTTTTAGTCATTTCCAAAACTAATAATTAAATTTAACGGAGTTTGTTAATTAAAGTAAAAAGACAAGTTTAGCCCTTAAAGTTATTATCATTTTACCCTCATAAACTATAGTCTCAATATCAATTTACCCTATAGAGTTATTTTTTAGGCAATTTATCCGACCATTAAACCAACTTAGCAAGTTAAAAAACTTTAGAAGAAAGTACCTTCCTCTTTGTATAACAAAAATAATAAAAAATTTAGAGTGACCCTTCTTCTGTTTAGTATTAAGAAAAAAAAGTCAAAGTATTAATTTCTTTCTTTTTGGCAATCTTATGAATATTAAAAAAATAGAAAGATCGGAAGGGGGAGGGTGAGGAGGAGAGAAAGATAGAGAGAGTGAGAGAGCTCAATTCTTTTTTAGAAAATACAAATAAGAAAGAATTAAATACTTTTATTATTTTAAAATTATTTCATTTTACTGTTTACCACTAGATTTTGATCCTAATTCCAATAATCTTAAATTAATACGATAATGTTAGATTTTTTTTTTTTGCAAAATCTAATTTTCTATCTCCTTCTTTCGTATATCTTTTTTTTTCATAGTATTAATAGGTGTGAAAAAAGAAATTTGAGAAAACCCTTTTATTTTTATATTTTTGGATCTCTTAAAGTGAAAAAAAAAGAAGAATAATCATTCTAAATTTTTTATTTTTAATTATATATATAAGGGTAAATATATTTAAAAATTTTTTACTATAGTAGTTAGATTAACGATGAAGTAAAATGCCAAGAAAATAATATTAGAAATTAAATCGATTATATCACTATAATTTAAAGGAATAGAGTGATAATAACAGTGTAGTAATGCTATAGAATAAAATGGTATTTTTGTCCAAAATTTATTAACATGTTAAGTTGAATTACTTATAGGGGTGAATTGACTAAAATATAACGTTAGGGGGTAAATTGATAGTAGTAATATAGTTTAAGGGGATAAAGTAATAATAACCCAAGCAATAATTGCCACAACTTCGTGTCCAAAACAAAAAATGAAAAAAATGGTTCTGCACACACATAGACTAGCATGGTTATGTATAACCATGACGTGAGATAAAAGGGCATCGGCCAGTGGTGATTTGTCAACGACGAATTTCTGCAATCATTTGAGTTAATCTCAAGTGCATTTTTTTTTTTTTTTTTTTTGACTATTAGAGAGTTTCCAAGCAAACCATTCATCCCTTATCAGCCGCTCGTCTCTCATCTCATGTCAGATGCTCATAAAAATAAAATTGTCAACTTTCACTTAAAAAATTCAGGTCCAGTCGGACTCAAACACACTCGGTGGTCCATGGAAACTAACCCCAGAGCTGCTGAAAGTTCTTCCGTTATAAATGATCGGAGGTTATGAGAAGCAACTGGTGAGACGTAATTAAAGCTACAGCTTTCAATTTCATGGGTTGCGACATTCCAACGAGTATTTAGTATCTGCACTAACCTTTCAACATCATCCTAACCTAACCACCAACTTGTGATTCTTACTTGCACCCTTTTGTTTCTTTCCACTCCATGATCACTCCTCTTACCCTCTCCAAATCAAGAGGTGAAAATGTGGGTTCGGTAGTGCAGGATTTTTAGCACTTCCTAGGTACTAAAATCTCTTCCGGTTAAAACTAGAACATGAAATAATGATATCAGATAATGGTCGATCGTTAAACCTAATTTGTGCATGGATGTCAAATAATGGTCGAAATATGTTTCATAGGTCTACGGTTAATCTTGAAGTTTGCCGATTCAATCTAAAACCAGAATAGATATGGATAGAATTGTATTAGAGTGACTTGTCCCACTTCTTTAATGTCATAGATTTTTACTAGTACGTGCGTCCTTTTCATCTACATCTGGCGAGTTTGTTGAATTTTGCTAGATTATTTAGTTCAAGTTGTTGATATAGCTTATAGTTCGCGCTGCAGATTGTCTTGTCTGAGAATACTATGTTCAACTCAAAAGCTTCGTCATTTGGAGAAACGCTGCTAAAAATAAATAATGTTCCGTAATTTTCTGAATGACAAGAAACACTGTGAGGAGGACTAGCTTAATTTTCGGACTAAGATTTGACCATCGGTACAAGTCTCCCAATGACTATGGTTGGCAGTTGGCTGGCAAGAAGATGCTCTAAATCTGATGAGAACCAAAACCAGCTTCTTTGAATTCATCTATCATCCGAAGCAAAACAATTACTAAAATCTTCAGAATCCCCTTCCGGTGCTTCCAGAATAGTTGTTGTATATGGCTTTGCGTTTAATGGATGAAGAGTGGACCCTGCAGCTTTTCCCCTTTGCATCAGATACCAAATGCTGCCTAAACATTGTAATAAACGCCTCCACTCTCTCATTCAACTCCTCCTGGGAGAGCTCATCATGAGCTTGATCCGTAGAATCTTTCAAATTTTGCTTTTCAACCACGCGTCCCTTTTCCCTTCTGATTCTGCATTTCAGTAATCTCAAGTGGTTGCCGCTCCCATCATCGTGATCATCATGATGGTCATCCGCCGCAGACAGCATTGGTCCTCTGCTTGCACTTTCTTTCCTCTTGTTGCTCCTTAATTCCACCTTCGAATCCATATTTTCATTGAATTCCTGGCTCGTGGGCTCGTTGGATGAAGCCAGAGGAGATGGGGAAGTAAACAGAATCGCCAAGAGCAAGAGGTTGAGCGCAAGGAAGGCCACAACCCGCCATTGCTCCACAACTGATACTAAAACAGCGCGTTCTAAGCATGCCATGATGGCAGCTGTTCCAGCAGCGAACCACATTGCTTGTAGTTGGGCTTGTTTCTTCCTTCCCTCCATCTTCAAATCCTTGTTGAAAGAAAGGGATAAAAACCTCTATGTTTGGGGACCAACGAACAAGTGTTATGGGTTTGGTCAAAATGCTCAACAAAATGAAGCCTTCTTATATGATGATCAGAAAAGAGTCGAGGCCCGTGATTGATGTTTGGTTATTATCTTGATGAGCACCGGTCGACTATGTAGCAAGTTAGTGGAGGCAGAATGACTCGCCAGCCTTTGCAATGATCAGAGACGTGACTACTGATTGTGTTTGCCCTCAGACAAGAAAACATTCTCTCTGCACTCTGCACTCAAAAAGCATCACTCCTCGACCTTATCATTGCTCCAACTTAGGCCTCGCTCTTGTTCTTTTTTTCCCCTCCATGATGCTCCGTCCAACATAGGACTTGGGATTTTTGTCCTTTGTTTAAAAAAAAAAAAAAAAAAAAAAAATCTTGGGTTGAAAATGCCTGCAGCTTTAAAATACTTGTTAATTTTTATTTTTTTTTCCTCCTTAATCTCTTATGGGAGAATAGCCGGAAAGGCGTGCATCTGCCAAGTTCAAAGTCGCGGTTCCGACTTGGACCGTTTCATATCGATTTCGGTACATCGGTCGCGGTCTCGGCGAGACGCGAATTTTTGAAATATTTAATATTCTAAAAATTATAAAAAAATATGATAAATAAAAATAATTAAAAATTAGTAAAAATAAAAAAAATTCAAATTAATTCGGGATGGCTCGAAGTGATTCAATGTGACTCGACCGTTTCAACTCTTTACGGTAACATCTCGACGAGTCACGTATCTCGAGAACGTTTCGTCGCGGTCTCTCGGACTAGGACGACTCGGCCGAGTCTTCGAACCATGGATATTATGGGCTAAACCCACCTATATAGCAAAATATTCCGTTCATTGAATAGTCAAATAAGAAGATTTTACGGAGAGTCTTGCTCACTAGAAAATGAAATACTAGTACCAGCGTTCAAACTGAAATTTATACGCCATTCAACGAGAGCGACCATCGAGTTTGTACCCGAGAATAGATTCCTTCATAAAGCTGAAATCAGGACATGACAAAAAGCCAGGGATGACAAGATGGGAAAGAAAGCAGTAGTGTGTGAAACCGAAATGCTATAAAGACCGGGACTGCCATATTCGGAGTTTGCCGCAATTTGAAAGGCTGACGGGATGATGGAGCTCGCGATGTCGAAACTTGGGCAGATCCGTTCTTTGCCGGGTCATGACTCATGCATGACTGATGAGATATTTTGCGGGTGGGGGCATTTCACGGGTCGGAACCACGCCTTGTTTGATTGTTTTTGGGAGTCATAAGATCGACTCCCCACGTGTCTGACACGATTAATTGATTAATTACGCTTTCCCCCCATCATTTTCTTCTGAAACATCTTCAAGTAGGCAGTAGCCACCAACAAAACCGCTAGTACAAATGTATTTTATAGTTTGGGCCTGGATAAAACGATATGGTGAATGTGAATGGCCTGGCGTCCAACAAGCCCAATCGAAAGAAACCGCAATACATTTCCCCCTGGAAGAAAAGAAAAGAACAGAGAATCAAAGGGAGCAAAGCATGTTTGATGCCCTCATCACCAATAGTAAAAAGGGCGACAGTAATAACTCTGCATCTACAGTCAAAAATTCAGCAGGGCTTGCAATTCCACACTTCAGAAAGTGGGAACTTGCTGGAATATCCATTCAGGCCAGAATTACTGCACCTGCCTGACAGTGCATATCACGAACACTTCGCCAATTTCGCTGCATTGCTGGAAATTCAGTTAAAACTAATTAAGACAGCATTATGAAATTTGGTATGACTCGCGCCAGAGGATTAAGAAGCAGGATTAGTTAGCAGGGACTCTGCAGCTGGGCATTGGAAAATAAAAGGTGCACACATCCAAGTATTGTTCGCTTTTCGTGCATGCACACCTCAGCCATCTCTTCCTCACTCTTGACCATCAAAACGAATATTCATGACTAAAGCAGCAAGGCGGTCAATAAAGTAGCCGTTCAGCCTGTTTTAAGAATTATACACTGTTCGAATGGCTACTGCATAGGTACTGCAGGCCAGACTCATTCTAGTGAGAAAACATGATGCCTGATAATAAACCTCAAAACCACTGAGCCGTAGATCCCAATAAAGTAACAAACGGTGCTCTCTTATGCACTACAGCAGAGAAGAAGCCAAAGCTAGGTTTAAATTAATGGCAGCAACTTGCTATAATATCGCAATGGGGGAAACAGACAACGGTTCTCATTTCTCATGCTCTTTGCCACTCCAATGCAGCCCTTGTATTAGTAGTATCAAAGCATCTTGAGACCTCTTGCTTGGTTTCAGTTAAGTGTCGCATCAATTTTCTTACTCAACCTGCTGCACCTGCACTCCATGACAGCAAACCCTACTACCACCACATCTTTCCAGATAAAGAAATAAGCTGCATAAGTAGAGAAAAACAAAAAAGTTACTAAGAATTCATGAACATCCAGAAGGAAAATTTGGCAATTTAAGAGCAGCTAATGATTTAAATTATTTGCTTCCCCCTTACAAAGATATCGCATTCTAGTGCCTAAAAGGCCTTAGTCTAGTGGCTAAGGTTGAATCCTCAGGAATTAAACATTTTGGGTTTAAATTCTCTTCTCCCTCCTTGCTTCTTAAATCCCACCCCTCCCCTTCTAGGGGAAAAAAAATCACTTTATAGTACTTCTCAAGCAACAATGCAGAACTAGAACTGTTAATCCTAAAACTAATATATTGCAACTATTATTGATAACTCTTTCCTTTTTCTTAGATTTATTCAAAATGCTCATTACTTATTCATTCATACAAAATTCCGCATGTTTGGTTCAGGCATCCTTGTATACGATTCCAGCTATAACTTAAAAACCACATCAACGAAATTAAATCCAACCTGACGAGCAACCTTTACCAGTCCTCTGCCGTCACTGGTTGGTTCATTTTCTAAAGTACTACTATCTGCCACAAGCTCAATATCTTTTTGCTCTCTGGACCTTCTCTTCATAGAGCTATCCCTTAAGCTGCAGCTCTCAGCATGGTTGACCAAGGACCCATTCTTGCGCTTCCTGCTGAATGTGTATAAAAGGGGGTTGCTGCTGTCAGGCGAACTGAGGAAGTTTTTGGTCAACTCAGATGCTTTGGCATTTCTCTTCTCAGAGGGAACAGAGTTCTCATTCTCCAACTCCATTTCTGGAACAACCCCAGTATGTTTCACCAACATTGGCTGATGTATCAACTTGGTCTCACTTTCCGCATCCCCATCAAAGCAAGAAGCTCCACCAGTTTTCGTGCTACTAACAGTTGCAAAGGCTGCTTTACCCTTAGCATCTTCAAGCTCACCTTCATGTTTGACTTCTAAAAGATACTCACCAGATTGTGCACCACGTTTATCCTTCTGACAACATTCTTCAAATTGACAAGGATGAGTTCTAACTGGTCTATATGAGGTAGCAAAATCATCCCAATACTTGACTTTCCTTTTCCTAACACTTCTGCGGACAAGTCGGTATTTTCCAAGTGGTGCTTTTTCTTCCAATTCAGAACCATTTTCAGCTTCAGTAATATTTTGATTTTTGGAGGAAGTACGCTCGCTTTTATCCACATCCTTGCCAGAAATTGTGTAACTTTTGCACCGAGCAATCACTGAAGACATTCGTTGGGGCTTCACACATGGATTAGAAATGTATCTGCATCTGGAGGCTTTGGTTCTGCCATATATAGTTTTCCTTCGACACAAATTTTGGATCTTCACAGGGCGATGCTTTGTGCCAATTTCTTCAAGGCATGGAGCTGCTTTGACAGTATTGGTTTTCCTTCTGCCACATAGAGTTCTCCTTCTGCGCAATTTTTGGACATTCACAGGTTGAACCTTTGTAGCATTGTCTTCGAGGAATGGAGCTTCTTTCATGATATTCTCAATTCCACTCAATTTTTCAGTTATGGAAGGCAAACTACGATTTCCTCCATTCCGTTGAATGATTGATATGCTTTTAGCCAGAGAATGTGAATCTTCTACCTGGCTCATTTTCTCATCCACCAACCCCTTTTCAATTGCATGGATTTTCTGAGTCCATGTATTCCTGTGCGATTCAGGCTCTTTTTTTTCTAAGACAATATAGGCAAAAACAGGATTGTCCACGAGGCCATTATCAAATTGAGAACTTGATAACGCAGTTCCTATAAATGGACTTGGACATTGATGAACACTCGTGCTTGGGTCCCAACTTGAAGCCTCTACATCAGAAGTTACAGATTTGGACTCAAACTCTGAGAAGGATATTTGACAACTAGACATGTCAACCATTTCATTTGGTCTCAAAGATTGCACGGGCTTACTTTTTGCATTATCTAACTGTTCGTGAACCTTGTCTAGTTTTGCTCGAAGGTCGAGTATCAGCCCTTCCGCTTCATCAAGCTGTAACTCAAGCTCCTGAATCCTCCTTTGCTGATTCGAGGATGCAACCTCTGCTTCTGCATTCTGCCAAAAACAGAAAGAATGAATGCAAGCTGATTGCCACAGAGAAAGACAACGATAGCAGCCAATTTGGCACAGATGCAAGGAGTAGTGGTTAGTATTCAAAGACAGTTGACATGAAGAAAGAACAGTTGTAGAGCAGCACTATAGGTGTCAACACAAAAAATCGGTGCTAACTTCTCTGTTTAGCCTAGCCTGATGGCACTAGCAGCACAAAATGCGTGTGCTATTTTTTTTAAAAAAAATTCATTTGCTTAATAACGTTATTAAAGGATCCTCCTGCTTAACGAACCTCTTTTTATTTCTGTTGGTAAAGTCAATCCTAAAAGAAAAAAAAATTAAAAACAGGAAATATGATGGTGCATAGCATGCCATAAATTTCAAAAATCCTTGCTATCTACTACCATGATAGCGTAACAAGCTGGACACAAGAGATGTGAGGAGGACATTTTCCTTTATTCTCTTAACTGGCAACAACTCACGATAGTAAGAATTTAACAAATTTTCCGGTTTAAA